CTCGGTGATTATTGAATTTCATCAATAAAATACTTGTGTTCTGTAGTTATTATAGATGTTCTCTAGAACGTTTATATTCTCTTGTTAAGTATCGAGATAATGTCCTTGATTTTGACTCTTAGCACCCAAAATCTAAAATCTTTAACATCTGGCCACTTACAGAAAAAGTTCGCTGACCTTGGCCTAAGGTGGTGTTCCTGTACCCCCTGCCACCCCAGCAGTGAGATTCATCTGAGTTTTGTCTTTTTTTTTTTGTCTGAGTTTAAGCTCTCAGGACTGGAATGTCACGCCATTTCTGCCTTCTCGGTTTTATCCATTATTTTTTGACTCCCTGACCATCTGTCTAAGATTGGATATAGCAGGTCTAAGGGAAGCAGATAAAAGTGGTCATGAGTTTCCGTCTCCCTTCCTCTCAGTTACTTCTTTCACCTTTTCATCATTGATAGACTACTTGGGGATTTCCTACTGTGAGCTCCTGGACTGTGACTCTCAGTCCTGGCTGTGCATTGGAATCCCCAAGGGAGCAATCTCCTCAGTCTGTCTCAGTAGATCTGTAGCACAGTTTCTTAGTAGTCTTCAGGTACATTTTTCTGCATGTATAAGAGAAGCATATGAGCAGTTATTTCTTGTTCTTTACCCCCTTTACACAGATGGTAACATAGTATGCGTCTTGTTCTGTATTTTTCTTTCACCATCTTAGAAATCTTTCCATATCAACACACAGAAAGCTTGCTATTTTTATGGATAAATACTATTTCATTCATTTCTAACTAGTTTCCAGTGGGTGAACATTTAAGAGTTTTTCTAGTTTTTTATTATTACAAATGATGCTACCCAAACCAAAAGCCAAATCCATTGCTGTCGACTCAGTTCTGTCTACGATGAATACCTGTTTTGCCTGTATGGACGTGTATCTGTAGGATCAATTTCTAGGAGTAGAATTGTTGTATTTATAAGTCTGATAGATATTTCCAAATTGTCCTCCAAAGAGGTACCATCAGCAACGTGCTGCAAATGTATTTTTATGTCAGGTGATCCTAATGAACAGTTGAGAATCATTGCCTCAGAACCCTGTCAGTGATCTCTTGTAAATGACTGAAGATTAGAAGCATTAGAATCACTTTGGGCTCATGATGAAAATACAGATTTATAGTGAATGAGAGTCTTAGGGAGTGGGACTCAGGAATGTGCGTTTTTAACATTCCACAAGTGAATCCTACGTATGCACCACAGCTCTGGGAAACACTGTTGTATAGATTTGAAGTAGACACCAAATGATAGAGTAAAATCTTTACCATTTTTCCTTTTCTCATTTTAGAACAGTGCCCAAACCTTGTGTTAAGAAGCAGCCTAAGCCTCAGCGTGGAAAAAGGAGAAAACAAGACTCTTCCGATGATGAGGATGAAGATGATGAAGCCCCCAAGAGGCAAACTCGTCGCCGAGCAGCTAAAAACGTTAGGTAAATTGTGTCCCAGAAGTTTTTCATTGATGTGAGGGTGATAGTGTAGGAGGTTCAGAATTGCTTCTGCTGAGTTCAAGATTATGTATTTGATGGGCAAAAATAATTACCTGTGTCCTGAGGTTGTATTTATAAATCCGGTCAGCCTTTTTTGCAAAAAGAATGGTATTGAGCCAAGGGGAATGTGGAAAGTGTGGCAGTAGCCCAAGCCTTCATTCTTATGAAGAGAACTGCTCCAAGTTCCTGTTCTGTCCATAATGGTGACTTAGTGGCAATGTCTTCATTTCATAACACTGTTTTTTTTCGGGAAAGCCGTTTGTATTCTCACTTCTGAATTGCTCTGTGAATCATACAGATTCTTCTGAGGTTCAGCTTATGTATTGATATTTGAGTATATTTGTTTGAGCTTACTAATAG